GTAGTTGCATTAAAAGTATCACATGATAAATAACACGGTATTATGACGTACGATTGTGGTAATGGCGCTTTTAATGAAAATATTGCACGGAGGTACCCAGTAGCGACCCCGGGGATCTAAGAAGGGTTCGACCCGAACCCCTATTGACCGCGTTGTAATAAAAAAATTATTTAACAGCAAACAATTTCTTAATTTTTTATCATTGACAACTTGAAACGTAAAAACTTAATAATATTATAATCATAATACTGCAATATTACAATATCAAGCATAATATGCTTTACTCAATTCTCATATAAATCTGCAAATGTTTTACCTATAAGGTTAAATAAACATAATATCGTTACCAAGGTGTTAAATATGATAATGGTCTATCGTTGGTTGAAATAAATATTGTACTATTATAAAAATAAAACCCTCTCAAAATGTGTGTCCACTATAGTTCATAATTAATATGTATTATAATCACTTCATCTAAGCTATAAATACTTACTACAAACGTATGAAGAAATTTGATTTTCATACATCGAAGATAAATAGTAAATACTCTATAAAATCAATAGCTTTGAATAAAATTAAAACGTATAGGTATATTGTTATTAAAATAAAATAATAATGTTAAATTGGTAAAAATATAATATAATTTATGTGGATTCCCGGACAATATAGCAGGCAACTAAAAAGCCGACGAGGTCTCTAAACTTTCACACAGCTCGCCTAAAGCTATAGTTGATAAAGCTATGATTTTTAAGCTATACCTGGATTCTATAAAAAATTCATAAAAAATCATACTACTAAAGGGTGGCAACAATATTAGTCAAAACAGCCAACTAAACTCAATGGAATTAAAATGTCAACAACCCCATGGCCTCCGCCGCCAGGTTGCCCTAGAAGACAAGAAACAATTATAAATTGTCTCAGAATAGGCCACACCTCACTTACCCATCGAGACATCTAATGACAAGAAAATTGACCCACCTAAATGCCTTACTTGAGGCGTTCAATTGGCTATCAAAATCATCCTCATTGAGTTCAGAAACTACCAGAAAGATCGAAAAGAATCCCTCTGATCCACACATCTCTACGAAATCCTCAGTCCGGATCCAATTGAGAATCTATTTATTTAAAAAAAAAAATCTAATTTATATAAAGAAATATGAGCTTTTCTAAGTTAAGATTATATGTATGCATCTAAATTACTATATGTCACTTTATATGTTATAATTTTAGTCACTGTCAGACAAATGACCAGAGCTGCAGCGGTATTTATATTTAATAAAAAAATAAAAATAATTTTACAACTAGCAAAAACAATAATTTATTTTTATTTGAAAAGATTATTTTTTCAAAATAATGAGTTCATACTACAAAAAAAAAAATATTATTTATACCCGATATTATTTATAAAAGTCAAATTATTTTCTAAAAAGTGCAGAATACAATAGAATGCTGCAGAATATAGAATGCAATTAGAATCTAATTATTAGATGATTGGACATGTAAAAAAGTATAATACTGTGTACAGTAGTATGCTCACTAATTTCAATTTACAATGTTTAGCAGGGGGCACAGTATAATAAAGGGGGAGGGCTTATTGAAAAGTCCTTTGTACGCCACCGGAAACACCTCTCCCTGATGGACGATACAGCGTTCCTGTATAATATACCATCGTGTGCGTCGGAGAAAAAAAGTAAACCGACATGTAAAATACACCCGACGACACTTTATTATACAATTGTACCTACATAATATTATATATTATAATATTGTGGCCGTCTAGGTAGGCAGATAGGTAGGCGGTAGCGGGTAGTGTAATGACGTTGCTAAATATTCTCGTATGCACTTTGCACGTCACGCCTGTGGCGATCGAATAGAAAAATTAACACGTATTATAGTATACCTATATGTGTTTTATTTATTTTTCGAAAAGTCCACAAAGCCGCTATCGTAAAACTTAATAAAGCGAGTTGACACTATTATAATATATCATCACGGGGGCAACCACGAGCAGTTTGGTGATAATATATGAATAATATTAACGTCGCGTATGCGATTCTATAATTGTCAGCGCATTGTATTTATTATATGGTACATAATGAGCTGCAGAATATAATGCAATACAAGCGAAATACCACCGGAAGCTTATTACTATTTTATGATCGTTGGCTCAGTGTTTTTTTCTTTGCAGCTCTTCAAACCGAGATATAAATTTGTCGAGATTTTCTTTCTACCACGCTAATTTCTCGCGTAATCATAAAATAAACCGAAAGCAACTATACTACAACGCCCGACAGATTTACGCTATTCCATCGCTTTATTTGCACTGCAGCGATTGGCATCACCATTCGTTCATTAGGAGCAAGCATTGAGCGATATATTAGTTTATTATTATAATACAATAACATATTAAAATATATTATAGTATCGTATTAATTCAGCAGCATCGAAACGAGTGAGAATTTCAATTTAAAATGCGACGTTGTCGTGGCTACCGGATAACATATACATGTATATAGAGGTAGTGCATACGGTATACGTGTAGTATCGTCGTAGTCAATTGTATTGTATGAGTTGAAGGGAAAGAAGTTTGACTTTAGTATGCCGTTTTACAGGTAATTTAAGATCAACTATCGGGTTCATTCTCACTTGAAAAATGTATAAAAGAAACATGGTAGGTATAATAGACGCCGGACGGCGACTAAATTCCTCTTCAGCATTTAAATGTTAAACACCACTTACCAAGTAAATACATGTAATAAAGTATAGAAATACAATTAAATACCAATGAATAGTATACAAAAATCAGGTAAAAAGAATAAAACATTTATATGGTATATAAAAAACCAAACATATTAGTACAAATAAGCTTTTGCCACAAAAACTGTGATGAAACATATTTTAATATAAGAATAATTTACATTTATCTTTTGCAAGACATAAATATTTTTGACCCCAAATACAATTTTTTTTTTTTGTAGCTTGTCCCATGTCACAAAAAAGTGGTGAAGGGAAGTATTAATTGTGTCCTCAACTTTATTTCCTTAATTAGTATTTTGATAACGAAACCAGTGTCCGCAATCGTTATTTTACAATATTGACCTGAACAATTCGGCAGCACTTAGTATGAAGCCACTTTTATAAAATGTATTAAAGAAATACAATATTTAAATAGTAGTACCTTGATTAAGTAATATCTATAACAACTGGTTACTTATATTTAAACTATTCAACCAAAAATTAAATAAAATAAATAATAAAGTAAATTTTGATAAATCTATCATCTAGAGAATCTAGATTTTATGAAGGCCAGAAGTCAAACTGATGTCCACTATATTAAAATTAACACCGATTGCAAAAATAAATTATTTAATTTATAAATAAGTTATTCGATTTTAATTTAGCTTTTATTTTACTTTACTCGAAAATTGATGTGTTTACAAAAATCAATGTCCGAGGATAAACCATAATAACTGATATTATATTATCTATATATATAAGAATCTAACTTGATTTTGGAGACGAAGGAAACCGGTTTTGAACCCTCATAAAAATAATTAACTAATTACCAATTATTTTCATATATTCACCGATAACGATGTCTTTTTCTTTTTTTTGTTTATTTTATAATCGTTGACCTATAATAATGTACAAAGGTAATAAAAAAAAATAATAAATAAAGTTTTTAATACGCATGCGCGCTCCCTTATTTATTCGATCGAAGAGATCGACATTTCTAACTCCAATCGTTCAGTCGTTTGTTGTATAGCATTACTAACAGATCTAATTTTTTTCTCAAGTGTTAATTAAATATGTTATTTCAATAATAATAATAATAATAGTTGTGAACTTCGTTCAAATTGCATTCAAGCAATTCCATCGTATGCAATTCAAAATGGAGGAGGGAGGTATTTAATAACACCTAATACTTGATAATTGTAATTAATAATTCTATAAAGTGTACCCACCTAATGATTTAAATATATTTTATAGGTTAATACAATGGCTTAATAGTTGCAACAGGACCGATTTATTGGAACACGAAAACAATATTCGTACGAATAATAAAACTTTAGAGTGTGCAATTGTCGCTTTGAAACCAATATGTTTTTTACTACACAGCGTAAGAGGTTAAGACCAAATGTTCAACCCACATTATTTGGTATGTGGTATATATACATTATTAAATAATATATCTGTTTATTATACTTCGCCTATGTTTCACTACTATTTATTATTATAAATGCATATACTTTAGGTGATATACCGTTCAAGTGGGTAAAATTCCGGTCTGCCTATTTATATCAACCTCTAAGCATCCATATTATGACGACGATGATGTTTGTATCGGTGTAATGGATGTAATTTGTCAATATTGCAATGCAATGAAATTCAAAGGTAGTTTATTAGTGTATACATTTTTAGAATTTTGAAAACATTTTATATTATTTTCTTAATTAAAGGAGAATCTGCTGGTATGTGTATGTGTTGTTTAAATGGAACTGTTCGTATTCCTAATATCGATGAACCACCAGAACCAATGAAAACTCTTTTGGAAAGTTCAACAAGTATTTCAGAACACTTTTTAGAAAATATTAATAAATATAACAATGCATTTCATATGACCTCATTTGGAGCAGCAGAAACTATTGTCGAAAATGATATGCCTACATTTAAAATAAGAGGTCAAGTGTATCATTTAGCCGGGTCGTGGATGCCTTTACCAAATACAAATCATAAATATTTACAAGTTTATTTTATGGATGACTAAGAGGAACAAATTGATGTGCGAATGGGTATTTGCAGTGGATTGAATAAAGGTAATTGTATTGTATAATATATTTGTTGTTTAAAACGTTTTAATTTATATATTTATACATTTAGATATTATAAGAGATTTGCAATTATTGTTACATAATATCAATCCTTTAATTACTAAGTTCAAAACTGCATTGGATCATATTATGCCCACTGATCAATACCGATTAGTCATAAATGCAAATATGGTTCCTCAAGGTCAACATAGAGGTAGATTTAATGCACCATCTCAAGTAAAAATGGCTGTAGTAATGATTGGAGAAGAATATGGAAATCGCGATATAATTTTATCTAGAAAAGACGAAAAGTTACAACGAATAAGTGAAACTCATAGGTAAATTCCTTTTAAAGTGTATACACTGTACATTTTTTCTTAATTTTTACTTATGTGTTTTTAAGGTCTTATGATTCTCTAGAATATCCACTGATATTTCTACACGGTGAAGATGGTTATGCTATTGATATTTTGTCATTTAATGTTAATTTAAATGAATACAATAGTCATAAAACTGTTTCTTCAAAACATTATAGACTGATGGTGAGGCATCATATCTACAATCATTTACATCATTATAGAAAACTTATTCATAAATATTGGGTAAGTAAACAATATTTTTTCAACTTAATCAAAAACATGTATAAACATTATAATAATACAAAAAGAATGTAATTTTTTTTTAAGGTTGATATGTATGCCAAAATAGAATCAGAACGGCTTTTATTTATACGGAATAATCAATCAAAATTAAGAGCGGAAGATTATATTCATTTACGTGATGCTATAGAAAATGATGGTCAAGTGAATGACATTGGAAAACTTTTTATTTTACCTTCTTCATTTACAGGAGGTCCAAGGTAATAAAATATTTTGTATCTTATAACTTAAAATTGCTACGAAAAATGTACTGTAATATTCATTTTAACAATCTAAAATATTGTACATACTATTAATTATTAGATACATGCACGAAAAAACTATGGATGCCATGACTTACGTTCGTAATTTTGGGACTCCAAATTTGTTCATTACATTTACATGTAATCCAAATTGGATGGAAATAAAAAGAGAACTCAAACATGGTCAAACTACACAAGACAGACACGACATTATCGCTAGAGTTTTTCATCAAAAAATTTAAGTTCTAATGAACTTAATTGTGAAACATCGGATATTTGGTGAAACTCAGTGTTATATGTATACTGTTGAGTGGCAAAAAAGTGGTAATAAATGAATAGTATTATTTAATTATTATTATTTTTCTACGTATAATTATTCATTATTTAAGGTCTTCCTCATGTTCATTTACTGCCTTACTGGTTTGGTTAGTTGATAAAATTAGACCAAATGATGTCTATGATAAAATAAGTGCTGAATTACTAAACCTGGAAAGATCGAAAAATGTAAAAATCATCAAGAAATTTGTATTTATATATTCCCTATCCCCTCCCGAAAACCGCATATTAATCCGATGTCACTGGACAGAATTATTTAGTGTTACCTTTAAAAGGAATCACACTGTATTTATTATTGTTATTATGATTATTAATTATTTATTTGTTTGCACTTGCATTTTTCCATTTGAAATATATATATTATACATTGAACAAATAATTTATTGTTACATTTTTTTCTGCCTTATCTCTATTCTATAATAAAAAGAATAAAATGTACCACTCCAGTGGTTGAATTCTAAATGTAGGAAATATAATTTTCAGAAATTAGCAATAACAATAACTACAGTATGTATATTGTATTATTATTATTGTATTATTTGTATAGCCAAAAAATAGGCTTATGTTTTTAAATTAAATTATAAAAAAATAATTTCTTCCGGAGGAAGATCGGGCAGCTAGTTATATATATTTTACCAACCACCTTAATTTGAAATTATGTTTCAAGTATTTTCTATTGTATTACATATTTAGGCTTGATAACAAATGTTTAAAACATGTAGGTACCTAATATTATATAATGTATTCATATATAGCACCATAACAAATATTCATGACATATCACATATTAAAAATTTTTAAAAAATTACAATAATATTTGGTTCTGTTCCGTTAAACCTGGACCATGTAAATAATATGCTTATGGATAGTATAATATATAACTCCCCTCGCAGTTTACAATTTTAAAATATTTGTAGACTGTGTTATAATGCAGAACTAAACTAAACACCTAATAATAATTTTGATGTTCCATAGCAACCGGTTTTCTAAAATATTTGGTTTGTACAGTAATTTAACCACATATTTTGTATTATATTTCCACGTGGATCATGAATAATTATATTATATACTATTATATATTATATAATTGGCATACTAAACAAACAAGGTGATATTGAGATTATTTGTATAGTTTTGACATTGAATACGATAATATATTCGTAGGTACTCTATTGTATACTTGGATCGTTAAATAATGAAAATGTCGTTTTAATGTAAATAAAATAATATGTATATATTATACTATATATAAGATATTTGAATCGAATGAGATTGGTTATATTTTTATAAAATAATGATATATATATAATACTTTTTTACTACAATGGGGATAATTCGGCAAAAAAAAGGTTTTCGATAAAAACGTACCTTTTTATTTTGGCACAAATATTTTAAACATTTTTTTGTGTATTGAAATTAATAATAATATACGTTATGGTGAAAAGTTTCTTCAATTGATAACATAATATTATAGTGAGTGCAAACGCCGGTCGGTGTAGTTATAGTTCCCAGATGGTTGACCCCACCCGGGGTTTTTAGTGAAAAATGCTTGCCACACATGCACTCATGTAAAATTCAACCATACGCCCCCCCCCCCCCCAAACAGCTAATAGACATAGTTTCCAGGCTTAAGATCAGTAAAAAAAAAAATAATATTAATTAACTAAAAAAACTAAATCAACTCTGCCAAAAATATTCCCGTTTGTTTCTATTTATCTTGAAAATTACTATAAATTGTATATCTACCCAAAGTAACAACTAAATATAGTTTGCTAGGCATACCAGAAGCCACCATCAAACTTAAATATTGAAGAATTATTCCTTTTATTACTCCAAAAGGTGATGACCGATACGACAAATAAAAACATACCTATATATCATTATATGAAACCTGCAATACCTATACATTCATTGCTAAGTTAAAAAAATAAAATCAATTTGTTTAGGCGCAGTTACACTTTTTACAATTTACATAATATACGATGTATGCTACCTATTATACCTTGACTAAACGACACGAATAATATTAAATTGCGAACTGTAAATCATTAAAATGATTGGCACGACGTCTCATCTGTGAGATGGACTCTTAATAACCAAATGAGTGGCGTGAGCTGACAGATTAATGAGAAGAGAAGACTATCAACGGGTAAAAAATGAATTAATTTCGGCCTACTTCAAAGTACCAATATCATATTATTATACATTGGTACCTCCTACGGTTATAATGTGTAGAAATTATTAACATAAACAGCAAAGGTATATAACCCCGAGGATGATCGACATAAAAGGACCTTGTGATTAATGTATAATAGGTAACGCGGTTGCGCGGGAAACAACGTTCGGATGAATCATTTCGGATGCAGTAAAACGTTTTACGATATTAATGGTATGATACCTCCTATAGTCGATACTAATACATATATAATATAATTATGTAGAACTTGCGCCGCTCTACATTTGTAATAAACGGTGTTATTATGCACGCCAAGAAGTAGGTAGGTACGTCTCGTATTTATAATAAATATAATTTGTTGATTAAAGAGCCGCTAGTGAGTATATAAAATTATGAATGTCGTTGCAGTAAAGTTTTCGATATGGTAAATGGTAATATATATATTATATAATAATATATAAACGTCGTACAGATACGCGTAGGATCTACGCGGAGGATGCAGGTATGTGATGGACTCGGTGTCAAGGTCAATGTTACGAAATCCCACGGACGACGTCAAATCGATTTCGTAACCAATAACGACACATGGTTTAGGATGTCTTGATTTCAGAGCTTTGGATCGTATCACTATGATGCGATACATAATTATTATGGCTATCAATATTGAAAACTAGACTATATATTATATAATTGATAAACTACCGTGTAAGTGTGGAGTACATACGCTTCTATGTCCGTTGGCACAAATAGTGAGGGTGTTTTTCTTTAGTGGCGGGGGGGGGGGTGGCCTTTTGCCAAAAAACTCCCTTGAAACCTGCAAGTTCGGATAAAGCGAGTAAATATAGTCTTTTTCTACAATTTCAAGATTAAACATAATATAATTTTTTTTTTTTTAAAAAACAATAATTTAAAATTTTGTTTTTATGGCACAGTATTTCTGTCAGGCGGTAGGTGATATTACATGAACACAAACGATAAGAATTTTTTTTATTCCGTGGAAAATGTAATAAGAATTTGTACATAGACGTCAGATATGTAAATGTAAGCCATTTCACACTTATTTATGTTAGTCGATCAGTTATTCCGTATGATTATAATAGATATACCTATTACATAATTGTATATACCTATATATGGAATGTTAACAGCTATTATTTAATTTCTGCAAATAATAATTTGTATTTGTAAATGTCAATATCGGGTTTTTAATCAATATTATGAGAGACATATGTTCCCCCAAAAGTTTGAGTTATTTACACCTATAATAACCATCCCTATATAATTATACAAAATACGAATACATCGTGAGTATACAAATTACACAGTAATACTCAACATGTGATGTTGCTGCGAATACTATATAATATTTCGTGTTATTATGATTATTATTATTATTAGAATGTTCTCGGTAGGTATCGAAATTTAATACCTTGCCGGACTAGACCGGTCAAATAATAATAATACGCCACGCTTCACGGACGATTAGAGCGCCTAAATAAGCGAAAACTAGACGAGCGCGTTACCTAATACTGCTCTGTTTTCAAACTATTACGTATGTTATATAATTTTCTAATACCGTTTGCAAATAATAGATGCAATAATACCGACGAGACCGTATTTTCAATAGTGTCTATTTATGAAAACATAATATCTTACGCTTGCCAGACCCATAATTTGAAAATTGTAAAAAGTTCGTAAAGCACTCCATTCTTACGTTCGACGATATTCAAATTTTGCCCGTTCCAAGAAAAACATGTTTTCAACTCTCCCTCGTTTTACAATATTTTTCATCCGTATCGTGTAGGTACTCGTTATTAATTTTTGACGGACATTTGCCATAGGTAGACACCTAATTAGTCTTACGTGCTCGGGTCGTTAAACATTTCAGACCGCAAGTAAACGTCCCAAGCGTTGTGCACATACATAATAATATATAATATGTACAAGCACTTAATAATAATTATGCGTACAGCTGAAATACGGCCGTTACATTTTGGGCAGATATAGGTAAATAATAATACGAGTAGAATTAATTTTTTCATGAAGACAAGTCGGAATTCCTTGCAAATTGCAGGGTTATGTTGTATTTTATACCAGCTGACGTGCGGCCACGAACAGAATTTTTGGCCATCAAATACGCTCCATTCACTTGGCATCGCGTGTTTTCAACGGCATTGCGATGGATAATTCAGTCGGAATCAGGTTACACGAGCATAGTATAATGTACAATACGATGAATCCTGTAATATAGAGAACTATTGAAAAGCGCAATGCAATATCATTATTGACGATTCGATTAAAAGTAATAAATTAGAATAATTAATATTCTTGAAATTGAATTTTGGACGATATAGAATAAAATATATTGTATTGATCCATTGTAAAATACTAAAATGGATTAAAATATATCGAGAAGTACTGTTAAAATCGTAGTGGAAAATCGGCATATTATGTACTGCGTATGTTTTGAACGGTTTTTTAGATTGTTCAAAATACTAACTCTTTAAGTATTCTCTATTATGAAATTTATAACCATGTTTGCAACATTCCAAGAAAAACAAATTTTTTATTGATCTTTAAACTCGTCTTCTGTGGCCATTAGTTATAATCATCTTGGTTACAAGTGAACAAATACATATGTATAGAATCATTTTTATTTTAAACAATTCTATAAATGTTCATAATTATTGTGTGTTTTAATTTATTTTTTTTTTTAATTGTGTTGTACAAGTTTGTTAATTTGAAAAATGTCATCATCTTCACATTGTCCTCGGTTTCAGGTCATACATGCTGTATCAATAGTCTCTTCCATTTCAATCATGTGTCGATCCCTCTCGTATTACATGCATTCACTTAGGTACTATGTGTTTCACTGGTTGTCTAACACTGCAAACTTCACAAACAAGGCTTCTCTCTTG